TCCCCTTTAAATAACGTGACGGTCTGCCCTCTGCTCCCATTAAGCGCTGTTGGAAGTGAATTAATTGATTCAGCATTTCGACACCTCCATGGCCCTGTTCAGGAGCCCAACTAACCAAGTTATGAATGAGTTAGGGTTAGGGTAACCCTAACCCTATGCCAGAATAACAAACAGGCCATTATCAAAAAGAGATTTCTCAATTTCTCAAAAAGAGAAATACTTATTTTCAGTATTGGAGGATGCTCTTCTTGTTTTCAGTCTCTCTTCTCACTCTGCAATCAAAACGTTAGTGCTGCACAGGAAGAGAAAATGGTCTAGACAACAGACACAGAAAGCTCCCAGACTGCAACAGGTTTGGCACTTTAGACTCGCAAGTCCACACCACACTCATCTCAGTACTTCCTTTGCTATTGCTTGCTATTGTAGCCTGTGAGAGTGTTGTCAGGCGGACACATCGTTGAGGAGGAACACTGAACCTGTTCTTCCTGTTAATGAAGCTGGGCGGCTGTCACCCCTCCTCCACCACCCTTCAGCCAGCAAATACTAGTTTACATTAACCTTAACTAGGGCTGCACAATTAATCGAATTTCTAATCGCGATTACAATCATGGATGCCACAATTACGTAATCGTTCAAAGCGGTAATTAATCGTTCAAAGTCCACCTATGTTATTCTGTGTGCTTAAGATGCTTTTTTCTTCTTTCTACATGTTATCTTAAGGGTTTTTCCATTGTTTTAATTTTAGTATATCACTATAAAACCATTTATATTTTTACTTTTTTTTTAATTTAAATTAGAAACCAATCCGATGTATAGTTGACATTTGAGGCTTAATACTATAGAAAAGCACTAAAGGTTTTTCAGTTAGAGTGTTTTCAGCTTGTTTATTTTCATATAATAATACGGCATGCAGTTGCATCAAACAATGGTATAAACATCATTCAACGTAAATTGCGATAATCGTAATTAATAAATCGCAATTACAATTTCAAGGGAATAATCGAAAATTATGATTTTTGTCATAATCATGCAGCCCTAACCTTAACCCCTCTGTCAATATTTGAAGCCTGATTGGATTACAGAAATACAGTGAGACACAAAGCAAAATCACTTAAAAAGTCCATCTAAGCTGTAAAAATCCCATAGCTATTTTTAATGATCAAACCAGTTTCCTTTAACTAGAAATCATTAAATGCTCTCAAAAGTTTCAATCCAAATGTAAAAAAAATTTGAGGCTTATGCTAGGTTTATCAGCACTTATTTCCAAAGATAACGTATAACGAAGCTTAATTTACTTAATCATCTTAATCTAAATCGATTTACTTGCCAACTATATAGTAGGTAAAAAAAAGAAAAGAGCAGTATGTCTGAATTCATTTTATTCATAAAACAGTAGGCTTTTTTTTTTTGCCCAACTTACAATATAACTGACAATATTAACTTACTGATTTTAACACAGCAGTTAAACAATAATAATAACGAATTTGTAAATGTGCTGATATTCTGGAAAACCGCTCTCTTCATTTTCAAGACATTCTGCATTTCAATTGGCTACATCAAGTGAAAGTGAGCACCGTGACTTTTGTTTGTTTGTTTACGGCTTCAGCTCACACGCCGCTACACACAATTACATTTACACAACTGCAGACAATACATATCGCACACCCCTACACTCCTAGACATTGTTTCACATAAAAAAGGCTTAGCCAAGCTTGCTGAGAGAGCAGTGACGCAGACTAGTATCAGACTAGTAAGCTGCATCTGACTCTGGTTCCCCCACACACACACACACATCTTTCGTCACGATTAACTCTCCTCACTGCATTCCTCACATTTTAGGCCAAACAAGAAGTCTCAGCTTCCAGGAAATCTCCACGATGAGAGCTTTCACATACAAACCGACGAGAAACAGGCTTTAAGATGTGTGTTTTCCCTTTATTCTCGTGCTCAGTCTAAATTGCACGCTTTTGACTTGGATATGGGCTCTTGACTATATGCCCCGCAGTCACATTGGGTCCACATGGCAAAAAGGAGAGTGAAAAGTCCAACCATTAACTAAATGTATTGGTTGCTCTCAAAACAAATGTCTTACTTCAGACTTCACCAAACAAACAGCAGGAGTCGACAAACGAAGACGTCAAGCAGCACATTCTCAACAATTCGGAGCAATCAGGTGTTTTGTTCTGGTCAAGAATATATGCATACATACAGACTCAGATACATGAGTTTAAAAAGAAAGCTTCAAAAACGAATTCACTGATCATCTCCCTCTCAATGAGCTGTTGACCACAAATGGCCAAGTCATTGAGTCAGTGCAGTGAACGCAAGAACTGGATCGAGAATAACTTTTGTGAAGTAGACAAAGTAGATCCAACTCTGAAATGAATGATTCATTAACCAGTTGGATATTGCTAAAAACACGTTGGCCTAAATGATATGCCACTCTTTTTTCTTTTACGTTTGATAAAATAAAAAAGCGATACATTTTTCCCATATCGCCTACCCCAATCTCTACTTTTAGCACTGTTCCTCACACGAAACTATAGTGCGCCTTTAGAAGAACTGGGATAGAGCACATGCATTGTGTGGACTACTTTTTATGATACTTTCATGGTGTCTAAAATCTTCTTGCCTCAGTGAAAGCTTCATTTATTTTATGCGCGGAAAAGAGCAGCCAGAACATTATTCAAAGTTCCTCCTTTTGTGAACAACATGAAAGCAAGTAAATGTAGACAGAATTTCCATGAACTGTGCACTGAACTAAAGTTAAACTGTTTCTGTTAAAAGTATTAATTGGACAATAGATTTCGAAGCTACTGAAAATCAAGATGAACGTGCTCAGACACGAATAACTGAATTCGATAGTTAACGCAGCTTCTTACAATACATGGTTAAAAACCGGAATGCACTCCGTTCAACCACTCAAGCTTGATACGTGGCCAATTTACTGGCGTTTCATGCTTCCACATGTCTGTAATAAAACACAGCTTTAACTTTTTTTTTTATCTCAGCAAAGATTTATACAAGACCAATACTATTAATAGGACAAAAACTTTTGCCCTCCACTGCTCTGTTCTAAGAGAGTTGTTTATGTTTTTGTCGTAAAGATTGTACAAGGACAACTGTAATTGCATACAAGCGTGAGAGGGAAAAGGCTTTTTAAATTGATGCACTGCAGCAAGAGGTCGAGGAAGTTGTCCTGTGTCAGCCGTTTTCTTTCACTGCATTATTCAGCCTATTAAAATGCATTTAGAATGATCACAAATGATGGCAGAAAATGTATATATTTATACCACTTCATATAGTTATTCAATTTCACACGAAGAGTGCTGT